ACCGAAGCTGTACAGAAATCAAACATAAAGACCAAATAAGAACAATATACCTATATGAGAAAGCAAAACAAGAAGATTGGGAAGAATATGCTAAAGAGCTTCAAGTACAACTAAAGTGTAAAAAAGTACTGAAGCAACTAGAAGGGGATATAATGAACAGCATACATAGGACAGACATGCTAAACTATATGTAAAATACAATAAAAGAAGCCATAATAGAAATAGCAAATAAACAAATAACTAAAAAGAAGATATTTAACACAAAGGCAAATAGAAGACATCAGTACAGGAAGTCACAACATTGCAGACATCAATTGAACTACAATATATAATAAAAAAGATAAAAATAAGAAGAAATTAAATAACAGAAAATGAAGAAAGAAGTGAAATAAACAATAAACTCAAAGACATTGGCAAAGAATTAGAAGTAGTATTGGCAGAACTACACAAACAATGATCAGAAGCTTGGTTAGAGGACATAAAAGGTTGGCAAAGAATTGTAAAAAACAAAAAAAAAGAGGACTGAGAATGAGCACAAAGGAAACAAATAGAAGAAAATGTAAACAAAAGATGTGAGATGATTAAAACTAATCAAGGACGAATAATTGCTAGTTTATTGAACAAGCTGTACAAAAAGATAATACCTGACAGATTCATAGTTCAAAATGAAGAAGAAATCAGTTTAATATCAAAGCCCAAGGCTGTCATAAATAGTCTAACAATGCACTTTGAGAACCAATTCAAAAAACAAAGAACCAAGCTAGAAAAAATGTTAGAGAAATGGAAAGAAATATACAGCCTACGAGATTGGATTCAAGAATCTTGGTATGAAAAGTTAGAAGAAAAAATAGAAGAAAAGAAGTGGAAAGATATCATAAGAGAACTCAAAATTAATACAGCCCTTGGAATCTTAAACATAAGCTACATTCTAATTAAGCAGGCAGGAAAGAAATTACAAAAAATTTTTAGAGCTTTTGCAAACCTGGTTCTAAAAACAGGTGAAATGCCAAAGAAGTAAAAAATAGCATAAGTCTATCTGATTCCTAAAGATACAAATTGGGGGTATAATCTGAACAACATCAGACCAATAGCACTAATTAAGACCTTTAAAAAGTTAGTTACAAAGGTGATAATAAGAAGGTTGGCCAAGATACTTATAGAGAGACAAATACTCAAAGGCCCAAATTACACAGGTTTGCCTAGCAACTTAACAAAGTAACTGATACATATACTAAATATAATAATAGAAAAAGCACAAGAGAAAAATAAAGAAGCATGGATATTTTTGCAAGACATAAAAAAGGCATTTGACTCAGTTCCACTAGAAAGCCTAAGGTGGGCTCTTGAAAAAATCAAAATACCACAAAAAACAATAAGATACATTATCAAACTCTTTTGTAAATAACAACTGAAAGTAATTACAGCTTATGGTCTAACAGAAGAAATAACAGCAGAAGATGGTATAGACCAAGAAGAGATAATCTTCTCACTAATATGATGGCTTTTTTATAATCTGCTATTGGAAAGAATTCAAGAAGATGAATCATTAGGCTACACTGTAGAACAAGAAACAGCAAGCAATGCAAACATTAATTGTATTACAAAGCACAGACAAGCAGCAATTGCTTATGCCGATGATACTACATAGATCACAAATACCAAAGACCAAATGCTAAGAATTCTTGAAATTGCAGAGAAGTTCTTTAAAGCAAATGATATTGAAATAAATAGAGCAAAGTCGAAACTCATAGTAATGAATTCTAGACTGAGAAAGGAAGATAGAGAAATTACATTTGGACAGAATAGAATAATTGAAGAACCAAAAAACAAAATTGTAAGATCATTAGAAATATGGCTAAACAGCAAAATAAGAGAATCGCTAGTCTGCAAAAAAGCAAAGAGAATAGTTAGTCAAACAGTCAAAGATTTCAGATATAAAAAAATGACAATAAGCCAAATCACATACATAAACAATACAGTAATAATCCCAAAATTAGGATACCTTTTGCTGTTAACAAAGATGTCAGAAAAGATGATTGACAGAATTCACTAACTGATAATATGTTTGGCCAAACATAAATGCAACATGATGAAAACTACAAACAACTGCACAATTGAGTACAAAGATTTAGAAAACTGTAAATCATTAAGTTAGAAAATAGCAACAAAGCAAATAAGTAGTTTACTCACAAGACTTAATAGGAAAGACCATTTGGGTGACCTAACAAAGCTTAAAATAGTACAAGGATGCCAGAAAGCTAGCCTAGTAAAAGACATTTGAAAGTCTAAGGCAAAGCCAGAAAAAGCAAAATATTGAAAATACAATTTGGCTTGTCGAACAATTATCAAGGCAAAAGAAATAGGAATAAACATCAGAACAAATAGCTATTTATAGAAAGTTTACAGTCATGGAATAAAAATAAGAGACTTAGTTAAAACCAAATCTTGGATAGCAAGCAGCAGTACAATAAATGAATTGAATCTACTGTACTTGAACCAGCTCATAGATATGAAAGGTGAAAGCTTAATCACATGAAAACAACTCAAAAGTCTTTTAGAGTTATCGTATAAAGGAAAAAAAGCCAAATGGTTCAATAAAATAGAAGAAAAGATGTTAATAACACAAACAAGCAGAGAAATACATGATCAATACAAGATCAACAGCTATAATACTCAGGCACTAATGATTAATTGGACAAAGATATCTGAAGACAGAAGAAAGAAAGAGTGGATCATACATAGGCCAAAACATGAACAACAATTTAGCAAAATATTAAGAAAGAAAAAGAAAAAGATTTTAGCTGAACACTGGCTTTTGTGAAAGGTAGAAAGGAAGACATACACAGAGACAAGCAAATGCAAAGAGTGTGAAAATAAAACAGAACAATCAACAGAGAATTGCAAAAAGTAGATAAGATAGAACAACAGTATAAAAGCAGTCTCCGAAACACTAATAGAAAAAGGCAGTAACAAGATTAATGCAACATTAGAACAGATACTAGTAAACAGACCAATGGAAGAATGGAAGAGAGAAGAAAAAAGTCTAATTGGACTAAAACAAATAGAAGAATACGAGATAGAATTAATCAAAAAGCAAGAATTAGATAATGAAATCACAACACATTTAATAGAAGTTTTAACAAGAAACAAGATAAAAAACAAAGACAAGTATATCTTTTATACAGATAGAGCATTATATAAAGAGAAAAGAGAAAATAGTACAGAAAAGATAAGCATTGGCTGGGTACAGATCAGTAATGAAGAAAACTGGCCAGAAGAAGAAATAACATTAGGACTTGAAGGCTGGCCTTTAGTGACAACAGCAGAATTTGCAGCAATATAGACAGCTATCTTAATTATTTCAGAAAAAAAGAACATAGAAGTACATACAGATAGTCTGACTGCACTAAGGAATATTAATAGAGCAATTCAAGGGTTAGAGAATAACAAAGTTCTTAAAAAGAAAAATGCAATATAGATAATGAATATTGTGAACTTAATCAAAAGCAAGAATAACAGAATCGAACCAGTTAAAGTTAAAAGTCACAGCAATGATAAGTGGAATGACAGAGTGGATGTATTTGCAAAGAAAGAAGCAATATATAAAATGGCGATACCTATAGAGAAGATCAAGTATAATAGAATAGAGTACCACTTAGAATAGAAAAACAAAAAAGTTAATATACCAACAAGACTTCTCTACAAAATAATTGCAAATGTCAGAGTTGAAGCCAGTTAGAGAGAAACAAACCTGATTTGAGCATTAGAACTAGAAACAGAAAGTACTTAATATATTTGGTCAAGTTTTTGTAAAGAGATGAACAGAACAAAAGGCATACATTGCATGACAAGAAAACTCAGCACAAGAAGGGCAACAGTGATCAAATATATAATCGATGATTTGTCAACATTAAAAGAACTAAACAGAAGAAGACCAGAAATATATATGACAATAGATTGCCAAGTATGTCAAACAGGTGAAAAGGAAACCCAGATACACTTGGTAAGCTGTAGTAAACAAAGAAGCCTGTGGAAAAGAATTCAAAAGGTAGCAACAGCAACAGCATGGAATAGTCTCAAATAGAGGTCTGATCCGGTCAAAAAACTGGCAATTCAAATATTCATTTGATCAAACCTATTATATCCGAGTAATCGATGAAAAATTTGAATAAATATCCGATTTATTCAATAATATTTGATGATATTTGATACCTTTTTAGTTACTTCATACTTTCGACACTCTTTCGACTTATTACAGTATTAAAATTGCAAGCTACACATTAGATCATGGAGCTAATAACAATAGTTTAATTTATATAAGATTAGCATTAGTTAATTTCTTTTCGACTATAACACAATTTTTAGTTCATTCACAAGTTTTAGATCTTTAGATCTCGAAAATTCTGTTTTCTAGTATACTAAAAACTTAAAGCAATGCTTTTGTAAATCTCTATCCAGTAAGGTTAGGATCTATTTGGAGCTTCCTTGAATCTTTCGCTTGGCTACATGATAAGTATAAATCTAAATTTTCATTAGGTTATTGTACCTTACAAAAATTCTCTTATTTAGATATTAAATTTTTTTGGTTATTAAAGGCTCGCACTAAAAAACTTATGCAAATAGAATGCTAAGAAAATTGTCTTCTAGGCATTTTATTATGCCACGCTGTTTTTATTTTATTTTTTTTATATATATATTCTATTCTTTTTATTTAATAAAAGTTTGTTTTGTGAAATTTATATCTAATATAATTTTTTAAGCTAAATAATGATTCATTTCAAGCTATAAATTATAGAGAAAAAAAAAAAAAAAAAGAAGTGCTTCCAAAAAAAAAAAAAAAAAAAATCTCCAAAATTTCACTCAATCAAATCATAAATCATAAGCATTATTTAGTTCATTACAGTTTCGTTTTAAAAATAACATCCGTTCAAATAATTTTGGTTTTAGCATCATTCTTCTAACAGTTATTATATTGTTTGCATCGCTGAAAAGTTACTCACTCGAAGTTGAGGTTGTGGGTATTGCAAGATACTGTTTTGCAAGCTTACTTAAGAGAGAAAGGAAAGTCTTTTGAGTATTCTACTAGTGAAAAGGATTATGATTGTAGAAAATTTCAGGTAAAGAAAGATAATGACTAATTTCATTAATTGGCTCATCAACAGTATTTTGCATAAAAAGAGATTTGATGAATGTTTTTTGATAGATTTTGCATTTCCTCTGATTATTTTCAGCTGAAAGTTGTTCATTAAAATCTAAAGGCTGGTTTGTTAGAGTTAGTGAAGATTGAAGTGATTTAATATTATTATATTTTTCTCAAAGGGTAGCTTTCACTTGGAGTTGTTGAGTTGATGTTGCAAATCTTAATTTTTTAAACCTCGAATCCAAAAGGTATGCAAGGAATAATTCTTCATCTGAAAAATCCAATAGTGTAAGAGTGCATTATATAATGCATTCTTAATTTTGTGCTGCATATTAGTAACATCAATAGGTGTATTGATTTTAATTTTTCTTCCTTTAGGACCATCTTCTTCCTCTTCCTGTGCATCAACAAATCCAACATTATTGTCGAATACTAGGTTAGGCATTTCAAAATTTATGTTATTCGATTTATCTAAATGGTCTGTAGAGCAATCCAACTTATCTATCAATCCTAAAATAGAGGGGATCATATAGGAAAATGTAACATATTCGGAACCACCGAGTAATTCTGTAACTTCAAAGAAGGAACCCAAAATATTAACAATATCTTGCATCAAATCCCACTCATTATCAGTTAATTGTATTTCTTTTAATCTTCTTGCATCTTTTCTTGCTTCAGATGTACTTGAAACACTTAATGTTGCTAAGACAATGTCGATGGCATCTTTAATAAGTAGAAGTCATTTCCAAGCGAGAAAAGATGAATTCCAACGAGTGGACACATCTATTTTTGCACGAAGGTATGTTGAAGTTTTAGTAATTATCTATAATAAAAGTATTTTAGTTATTGAATAGCTGATGATATAAAATATAGAAACTATGAAACGTCTTTTCAGGGTTATCAATAAAATATTTCAAGCTACAATAAAACATATAAACCACTACAGTTTGAGAGTGGTTGAATGTTTTATTATAATCTGAAATATTTCTATTGATAACCCTATGTTAGCATAATAATTATTAATGAATTGGTTGTTGTTTAAGTGGCATGTATTTTAATTATTTTATTAAAAAATCAAACTTTACATCATTATCTGAGATTCTTAGTGTTTTTTGAGCATCTTCGAGTCATTCATTTTGCTTTGGTGCCATGAAAAAATTAATTAATCGCTTGGCACGTGCCACGAGTACTTCAACAGGCATCAAACCCTTTCCAACAACAAGCTGTAATGTATGGGCTGAACATAGGATTCTTATTATATTACTCATTTTATTAATTGCCGCTTTCATATTAGCCCCATTGTCGGTTGTAATTGAATATACCTTTCCGGTGAGACCCCAGTTTTCAATTACTTCTTCTAATTTTTCTTGGATAACATTGGCAGTGTGAGGGTATCTGACATATGTAAGGGAAAGTAATACTTCGTGGATTTTGAAATCAGAATCTAGCCATGAGCAGGTAACTCCAAGATACCCTTGTCTATTACGAGACGTCCACAAATTGGTGGTTAGTGAACAATATGTTATAGAATCCTTGAGCTTTTTTCGCATAATCTCAGAAGATTTATTATATAATATATGAATTATTTGCTTTACTCATTTTTCATCAGGTAAACTGAACCTTGGATCTAATTCTTTTATGAACTCACAGAAGTTAGGGCTTACTGCAAGACTAATTGGTTATGCGTCCTGGATAATAAACTTAACAAGAGCTTTGGTCAGCTTATCATTCTTCACTTTAGTATATGAATAAGAACCGGATCTCGCAAAAAGATCAATTTTGGTTTGAGCGGGCTAGATAAGAAAAAATTTATTATTAAATAGTTTTAACAAAAACCAATA